TAAAGATCAGTCATAAAAACCTCTTCAATTCATACAAATATTTTAAAAAGAAGTTAAAAGCAAATAACATTAGGTAGCAAAATAATAACTTAGCAAATTCACTAACATCCTTCTCCCTTGGTTGCTTGTTACTGATTCTTCTCATAGAAAAGACTGAGCATGCTGGTATTTCAGCTATAGCTATTTTAAGAGGCAATACTTGCTAGGATGAAAATTTATGAGTAATTTCATTACATTTTTGAAATCTTAAAATCTTTAGTTTTCTGCTTGAAACCTTAAGATCTCTTGGGCTACTTTTATTACATATATCTAAAAAAGCTCAATCGTATTAAACCAGACTAGGTATGTGTAGCTAAATTCTGTGACTGAATAAATTTTTCCACTAATTCCAAGACTGATTCTTTCATGGTTGACTTGGTTTTTAAGGTCCAGTCCTTTTGGCATACAAATCCATGGTAAAAGGGTCAGGACCATAAGTTAAGAGAAGTGTTGTTAACAGAATAAATGTTAGTATTGTCATTATGTGCTAAAGTCTGAGTGTGGCATATGGAGACTTAATTTTCGGTGATCTATAATGAAGTGATGAAGAGATTTTTACTGTACCTGCCCTGCTTCGAGGTTTTCTAAATGACTGTTTTAAAAAAACTTTCTCAGGATGTGGAAGCAAAATGAGTGAATGTCAGTAAATGTACTGATGTGTCAGAATTGTGGATTTTATTCATACTTAAAGACTTGCATTGAGGTAGCTTTGTTTCATTTATGTCTTTTTTTTTTTCTTAGACAGTGTTTTAAGAAATTATGTGCATGCATAATCATATGTGGCACTTTATTGCTTATTTTTGGCAGTGCACAAGAGCAAAAACTTAATTTGCTATTTTCCAAAAGTGCATTGTGTTTATGTAATGAAATTGCATCAGTTGCAGTCTGTAACACAGTTAAGTGTTTTAATTGGCAGAACACCCACATCAAGACTTGTTTGTTTTTCTGATAAGGAAAATGCCAGCTAAGTTAGTCCATATGTTCTGTTCAAATAAGAAGCAACATAGTCACATGTAATAGCCATTCGTTAAAAATAAAATTAAAATGAAAAAGTAACACAAAACTAATGTGGAAGAGGGGCAGGTTTATGCATAGTTATGCTTTTTTGTCAATTTTCAGAAATAGCAACTATTTGGTAAGGAAAGCTGTTTGGCTTCCATTTTTAGTGCTTGTGGTTTATGGTTGTATCTTTTGGTGACATGAGTAGTACTGAAATGCAAGTGTACATTGTTTACATGGAAGGATTTACATGGTCTTTATTGTCTAATAACTGTCTACTTTCAGTGGACTTAATACTCACCTTCTTTATAGCAGTTGGGCAATACTTCAAACATGTATGGAATATGATAGGAAAAGATGGAAAGAAAAATAGGAGTTGCAGAGCTCCATTTAATTAAATACATCCTCCTCAGCTGCCAGTCATGAAGGAACTCGGCAGGCTTCTAGTGCTCCACAGCTGCAGAATCTATTTCTGCTTCTTCAGGGGAAGTTGGAAAACTTCCACACTCTTTGCCTGAGAATCCCGTATTAGGCATCTGCTTTTCTCTTTCTGCAGAAAGGGGACCCTGTCATTGCCTAGCTGTCAGAGATGACATTTGAACTCCTACTGATAATATTTGGGTAACCTAGGCTCCGATCCTGATATCTCAATGAAAAAAAAAAAAAAGGATAAAAAATGATTCAGCTTATTTCAGTTCCTTTTGTTTCTAGGTAATTTGTTGGAAGTTGTGTTCTAGCTAGGACCTGACTTAGAACCAAACATTATTTTTTTTTCCCCACGAAGCTGAAGAAGTCTTCATCATCTTTGGCTTCTCATTAACAGCTAACTCTTAGAATAGAGCAGCACTGATTGTTAAGAACATAACACATGCGGTATATGCTAGTTCAGGGCAAAACTGAATTTTTGTTAAATTTTGTGTCTACTTTGACTGTCCTTATTAGTGAAAACCATCATATTATTGATGGTCTAGTACACACATGATAACATATTTTTTTAGTTCTATGGGAGAAATCAGAAACTGAACACAAACCACCTGTGGCTTCTGAGAACCAGAGGTTGATGTGGATTCCTATAGCTATGTAACAGTTTCTTTTTGGAAATTATATGACCAGGAAGACCATAGTGTTTCAGTAAGACACAATAAAGAATCAAACTACTGCAACCCATTTCCATCAGATAGACATAAAATACATTTGTTCCATTGGATGTTATATCTGTTTTAAAAAATAAATAAATAAAAAAAATAAAAGTTATGCTACATTAGGTTAAACTGTTGTTTAAAAAATTCAAGACCTGATGATTGCAAAAAGGAAAATATCTGATGGTCACACTTCCCAAGAAACTTGGAATTTTATTAATTTATTTAGCATCTGTACCAAGTGCACATAATTTTAAAATTCTTCTAATAACAGTGAGGTCTTGGAATGAACCTGTTAAAAATGAAGAGGAGAATACTGTAACTGAAAGCTTACTTTTGTAAACATAAATGATTTGATAATGTCTGTATGAGTCATAGTGGGTCCTTGAGTTACAAATGCTGATCTGTTGATCAGTCTACTGATTCACAAGATTTGAGTATAGTGCTGCAGCTATGTGAAAAATTTGGGCTTAAATATAAGGAATTAAATTTTTAGAGAAGAGGTCTGGGATGTAAGTCTCATCCTTAAATACTTGCTTTTTGATAGACTATTTGTAATAGATAAACATAAATTAAACCTGGCAATAGTTACTATTATGGCTAGATTTCCCACTTCACATATTTTGATACATGTCCCTAGTTCTAAGGGACATGATGAATTTCTCTGTAGTTTTAAAATTATTTTTTTTTGTTCATTTTGGGGAGATTTACCCTCTAACCTGCAGGTCCTTTCTTTTTATAAGTAGTCTAGAACAAATATTAGTTAGTTTTAATACTAGTTATAACATCAGGCTAGATTTATTGCTACTGTTGTGTTGCAATAGTGACAGCAGCCTGGAGTTTTTTCTGAGTTGTTTCTGAGACACATGGATGTCCATGAGTTACTGAAGAATTTTTATTGCATCATTGCCTGTGTATTTAGAATTATTATACTGTGATCTGGTACAGAGTATTAAATGAAGTAACAGCTTGTCTTTTATGTTCTTGAGTCAATCTCCAATTTTTATTGGCACATATATTTCATTGTTTATCTTATTAAGTGAAATCTGTTTCTTTTATGTTCTGTGCAGAATGTGAAAGACGATGGGCAGCATGTATGGAGACTGAAACACTTTAACAAGCCTGCCTACTGTAATCTTTGTTTGAACATGCTAATCGGAGTAGGCAAGCAAGGTCTCTGCTGTTCTTGTGAGTATAAGCTTTTCAGCGTCCATTTGCATACATGTCTATTCCTGGAAATGTTGTGCTTGCTGCATAACAAAGAACTAGTAGCTTCCCAATACAAACCCATGGCCAGCACAATTATGTCTGCCCCTTTGTCTTCTATACTTGAGCAATCAAGGTTCCATTTTTTCAAAACTGTTGTTTGAGGAATAGCAGCTCTCATAGTTCCATTTGGAGTCAGCCCTTTTGTCTTTCTTTTTTGTTTGTTTTTTATTCTCTTAGCTATGATCATGCTTGATCATAGCTAAGTTTCTTAAGTTTCACACTTGAGTTTCAACCTTACTTTTTTTTTGCTAATACTCTTTTGTATTTATTAATATTTATCCATATTCTTTAATAGGTATCAAGTTGACTAGCATCTAGGTCCTGTATTTGTTTATTCCAATTTTGCACAGAATTCTTGTTTTGTTAATTGTGAAGGGCAAAATATCAGTTTTCCAGAAATCAGGTTTCTGTACTCCTTCTAAAGTTTTGTATCATTTCACATATTGACTGATTATAGATTTTAAGGTAAAGGGACACAGAAAAACTACTACATCTAATTTGACCTTCATTAGACTATTAGATGCAGTTACTACAATTAAATTCCTTGAATTACAGCTATGTATCTCCTAGTAATGTATGTTTAAAGAGTTCATACCCTGTATCTTGAGAAACCAAATCTTGCCAAAAGGTGTCTGATTTCTGGATGTTTCAAGAGATGGATGATCCTTTTTTTTTTTTTTTTTTTTTTTTTTTTTTTGGTGATGTGTTCCAATGATTAATCATCTTTTTAACAAGACCTATTTTCTGATTTGAATGTGTCTGGTAGATGGTTTCAATGATTGGTTCTTGTTATCATCCCCTGCCCTATTAGATTAATGGGATCTTTAGTACTCACTGTATTCTTCTCATGATAGTATCAAGTCACCTTTCATTGTTCTTTTTGATAAATTAATCAGTTTCTTAGTGTAACTTACTTCCTACACTTTTGGTATGAAAGATGGCCCATCACAGCTGATCAGAACCTTTCTGTCTGTACAGTTCTAGTGATGTAATTTGAGATTTGTCTGAATGAATGAGGGCTTTGGAAGTGGCCACTTCTGTCCTCTGTGGACCACAGAATTCTTTACAACATAATACACATGTAAATCCTCCACACATGGGTTTTCACATTGCATGATTTAATTCACATAGCTGTGGAATGAGAGATACATTTATTCAAATTCAAATAGAAGTTGCATAATTTAAGATTAATAAATACTAATGACAGTAACTGGATTATCTATCTATATAAAATGCTGAATTGACTGTTAGATCTTGAAACTTTGCATTCTTTAATATTCTTTTATGTCAGATTGATGTAAGCTTAATCCTTGTGAGGAAATGTAAGACACAAATACGTTGTAAAGAGAAAATTCTATTGAGCAAATTCTGTAGGTCATCTTCAATAGTTATCATAAATGTGTAGATTAGTTGTATCAGCTGCCCCAAAAGACCAGCCTTAAAAGAACTGTAATGTTCTCTGCTGCAAGGTATACCTCTTTAAAATTTATTTGTTATTGTGCTTGGCATTTATTTGGTGAGAATGGTGCCAGAGTATCTGCAGAACACCTACATGCTTATTTGAGTTCATGCAGCAAGGAGCATGAGTCTGTCTTGCTAAACATCTTTTCCAATAAATTTTCAAAGCATGGCTATAGATTTCATTATTTGCATTTTAGATTGTGTGGGAGGAAAGAAAAAAAAAAAAGAAACGGCAGGGGGCCTCACCATCCCTCCGTGGTCCAATCAACAATGTTACTCCCTGCAGTTTGTCTGATTAACGGCTGCGCCTCCCACTGGGTTTGTGTAATAGGTGCAAGCAAGGTGTTTAGAAGTACTTTGTGCTTAATTACTCTCGGGGTCAAAAGCGTGAGACATATACCATGCAGGGAGAAATTCGTTCTCAGTTTTTAATAGTTGACTGTATTGAATGCAGGTATAAGCTGTAGCATTATTTTCTCATCCAGGTACAGTTGTATAGTCAGGAGATCTTTGCCTTGCACCCTGACACACTTATTTTTCCAACTGCAGCTAATGATCTTTACAGACCAAGTCAACAATTGTAGTTGCCTAAAACTGATGAGGAGGGGTTAGAAAAGAAAAAAAAAACTTCTCAGGAGGTGACATTTGGGAAAGTAAGAGTTAAAGTTAGAGTGATTACATGGAATGCATGAAAACAATTGCTATCTGAAAATGGGCTAATCAGCCATTTAAGATTTATAAATCAATAGAAAGAACAAAACTCATTGGCTTTTATTTTTGTGCTTGCCAGCTGCTGTCATGCCTGTAGTCTGTAAAATATAGATTTCTTTTTACCAGTAAATGACACCAAACCATTTGGCAGTCATCAATTTGTCTTTAATATTTTTGTCATTTGGGAATTATTGTGAAAAAATTTAGTGAGCTCTGATTTAATTAAGCATTTTTTGTTATGCAATGATAGTGAATTCTTGTATTTCTCGCTTGCATAATATTTCCTGTTCTAATTGGCCTTATGTATTCCATGGAAAAAAAACAGTCTAGTTTGAGTTTTCATTGATGGATTGGATTGATTATTTGGAGATAGCATGCTGGCAGCATTATTTGTTTCACAAAAATGTCATCAGAAACACCATTGCCTCAACATCTGCTAATGTGTTTCTTTTTTCAGTTTGCAAGTATACAGTCCATGAACGCTGTGTCTCAAGAGCTCCTGCATCTTGCATCAAAACATACGTGAAGTCCAAAAAGAATACTGATGTAAGTTTGGATTGGCTTGAAGTGTGGCATGTTCCTGTTAATTTATTAATTCTATGTAAGTCCACGCTTTTCTTTTACAGGTAATGCACCATTTCTGGGTAGAAGGAAATTGCCCAACAAAATGTGATAAGTGCCACAAAACTATAAAATGCTACCAAGGCTTGACTGGACTTCACTGTGTTTGGTGTCAGATCACGGTGAGTATACAATAGTAAAACCTTTAGAACAGATTAGAGAGACAAAAATCTGCATGTCTTTTTTATAGGCTCTTCATTCAAAAGGTCTCGTTCAGTTTTGTCATCAGGAATGAGTGGCGTGTATTTATAGAGGCGGTATATGGAAAATATTCATAGGTGTCTTTAATTGTTGCAACCAAATACAAAGTTGTACTTTGCTTCAAGACAATATAAAAATGGAAATAATATATGTCATTGTAAAGACCAGAATTCCCAATTGACATTATAGAAAGATTATAGAAGAGTTTTCAGTACTGGGAAAAGTCAAGGTCACTGTAACACTAGGACAAAGTCATAATATGTGATGTAATATGACAGGCAAATAGAATTGAGGACATCTGGTAGGATACAGGGATTTCAAGTTTCTGGGAATAATAGCAGGGACATCTTGGTAATATACTAATCTGCGCACCAAGTCTAATATATACAACTTGCGTGTGCTCCT